CTTCCACCTACCTGATGTCTATGCAAATCAGTAATTCCCCTGCCTAGGTTTTTAAAAACTCTCTTGGAGTAATCCTTCTCTCCCGAATGAGGAGATTAAGCCATGGGCTCCAAATGGGACTTAGTGATATTTTCCTACTTGATCACTTTAAAGTCTTTTCTCACTCTATGGTAGCTTCATAAAGTACCTTTTAGCTTTTAGCATGATCAAGGGAGCCTGACTTCTCTTTAATTTTCTGTGTAATGCATTTAAGGGACCCAGATCCTTTAAGTCAAGGACACTTTATTAATTTACGGCTACAAGAATTTTTCCCTTTGGCATTAGGCTGTGCTGCCCAGGAGGTACAATTTTCCAGTCATGCCATGCATAAATGTATGCCCCATTACAGGCTCTTAATCACTTTCTTTGTAAAACCGTGAAGGTAGGTGAGTGGTAGCCCAGCTACAAAGTGAGCAGACCCAGGTAAAACCTGTGATGTGAGTTGGTAGGGCAGGGATGGGGAGGGCATGTGTGTTCATTCTCTTTTCCAGCTCCATCAGCTTGACTAAAGACTATTATGTCTCCAAATAAATGTCCCCCACTGATACTCTTCATATTAGATCTCCTCACTTTCCAGCTTTCCATTTTACCAGCTCCAACAAGCCAAAATCTTCACTTATTTTTTTCTATGTTCATTTTTTCTCTTGTTTTGCACAGAGTGGTCTCAACAGATGGCAACAGTGACAGTAGCATAGCCTTAGCTCTTCTGACAAGTGCTTCACCAGATATATGTTGGGATCATATTAGCCCCCTGACCGCACCGTCCGCGTTGCTGTTAATAACCAGGCATCGTCTGGCCCATGAATGCACTCAAGGCTTTCTTTTCAGATATTTCCAGCTGATGGGCTCCCACTTTATAACAGAGTTTCTTGTAATTGATGTGATTGATTATTATCACGCAGCGTGGTGCATTTCACCACATTTCTGCTATTCAGGTTCTGAAGATCATTCAGTTCTTTCTACATGATGCCTCAGACTGTTCATTTTTATTGAATTTCTTAAAGCTGCTGAATTTTAGCCTGTTGTCATTTGCCTCGTCTGAGTCTAAATTAACAGTTAAGCTTCTAATTATGTACCACTATAACTACCTCAGTCTGAGGAATTGGAGATGTCTATTTGTAAATTCATGCCTGTGTTTCTATGCCTAACCCTCTAACACCCATATTTTATGCATGCTCAGAATAAGATACCATCAGACACGACAAAAGATTATCTGATGAACGATTCAGCTATAATGCTTATCTAAATTGAACGCTATGTAAAATAAATTACGGTTTGCTAAAGAAAATGAAACATATTTTACCGTACAGGAAAAATTGCGTTTACTCCCCCAAATCAATCATGTTTTCCCAAGGTTGATGAATAAACTAAAATCTCTCCTCCTGTAAGCAACAGGCTCTGGGTTGGAAGGTAGAGACAGATAGCTTCTGCACTCGCTTATTTTTATCTGTGGAATGATTCCTCTCTTGAAAGAAGGCACTTGTGCCCGTGGCATATATATAGATTTTTTTTTTTTCTGTGCTTTCCTCAATTTCTTTCTTTTGTAGTTCTGTCTCCATCAAGTATCTCTGAAGAGTACACACAGTCATCGTGAGGGGTAAGGTGAAGTGGCAGGTAGCATGATGCCTTCTGGGTTCTTGTCTGAAACAAATCTGCAGTGAGGTAGGGCTTTCTGAAGGGATGCAGAACTCAAGGCATCTCTCCAGCAAGTGTATGCCTTGTAGAGAGAGTGCCAAGAGACTATTCTTAGTTATCTCAGGTCAGTGTTACCCCAAAGCACTCAGCTCTTGAGGAATTCTCTGCCAAAGTCACTTTGAAAATGATCTTTTTTAGTTGAGTCATTTGTTCCTATGTTTTGAATAGGGGCTTGTGGTTTGAGAGAAGATTTTCCCAATTTTCTGCATCTTGTAGTGTCAAGAAAATATGAAATCTTAATACACATAAAACTTCCTGGTATTCAAATGCCAGGGCTTGAATTAAAATAAGTACTAGACTCACTTTTATTTCTCCTGCTTATGTGTCCTCCTTAGAGAATGCTATCAGTAGGGGTCTGATGCTTGCAATAGCCAGCGCTCTGAAACCATATTGTGTAAATTCACTTCTATAATGACATTTATGTGCCTGATTCCTACTAAAACAATTCATAGTTAAATGTCTAGGTAACTTGTAAAGTACAGACCTTCATTTCTTCATGCCTTGCAAGTCTTAGAGATGTGTAAGAATTAATCTTTTTTTTTTATTTTTTTCTTTCTGTGGAAGACAAATCGTCCTGTATCATATCAATAGGTCTAATTATTTTGCCGTGAAAGATTTAAAAAAAACAACCCAAGCCTACAAACAACCAGGCAGTGGCTACCTTTTTTATTTTGACTGATAATGTCTGCACCTCTGAGCGCTGGGTCAGCAGTGTGTAGGCTTTTACTTTGCTCTTCTTCTGTGGTTGCGAGGTGGAATATTGCACTCCATTATTAGGGTATGCCTACCCAGTGATTTGGATGTTAATTTTTGCTGTCTTGCATTAGTTTTTTCAAAGTGAAAATATTAAAAAAAAAAAAAAAATAAAAAAGGAGACAGAAGTTTCAAAGGCAAAACCAAGATGAAAGACAAAATACTGCTTTACACTTTTAGCAATAGATGGAAATCTAGACTAAAAGAATTGAACTTTAAATTACATCAAAAAATGTCCAAGAGCAAGTTAAATAGCTTTATCACTCAGATTTTATTTGAACCTGTCACAGAAAGCACACATTTTCTATTCTCTTGAATTAATGTATTAGTTTGAAAAGTATCCTAGTCCTATGCTGTTTGATGTGACTTCTCTGATTTTTTATGCTTCCTGGGAATCTGTAATCATACAGGACTTTATCATCATGCAGGATTTTATATCCTGGCAGTCATGCATACAAATATTTCTGGTTGCTGGGGGAATGTCAGAAGGATCTCACAGGTGCATCTTGAAGTGTTACAGCTGAGAAAAACCACAGCACCTCATGGGCTGTCACGCATAAACTCACTGGGTACCCTCTTCTTGTGTTCAGACTCTCTCTGGGCATTGGACATGGAATAAGAGTAAGAAACACACTGGAATCAGATGAAATTCCCTAAATCACTCTTCCAAGAGACAAAGAAGGGCCTTGCAAGTGTTTTCCAGACTAAGGGAAAACCTCAGCTTTTTCTCAGCTTCTTTACAACCAAAGTTTTGAAGAATACAAAAAGTAATAGTAAATATATAGTAAACAAATAGTAAAATGCTGTCTCTTCCACAGTAAGAAAGCAGGGTAGAAAATGAGATAATTTGTTTTTGTATTAAACACTTGGAAGGGATGCAGACAAAAGTGATGTGGGGCCATTTAAACTGGAACATCCTCATATGAGAAAGGGCATCACAATCATGTCCAGAGGAAAAAGGATATGAGCAACATGTAAATGGTACATAATACAATAAAGAATGAAACAAAAAGACCGTTTCCTTGAAAATGAATAGGTGATGACTTCATTTAAGTCTGGAGTCCTGCATTTACTCATGCGTATGCCTGATTTAGGTAGGATAATTCTTGTGGTGACCCCAGTGAATAACATATACCTTTTAGTGGGATTGAGGTATGTTACATTTGCAAATCAAAGTACTGCTCAGAAATGTTATCTGATTTCAAGGTATTAAGTCTACAAACTCCATTAATTGTTCAAAGTAGGTAGCCAGTGTATATGTATCAGATTAAAAAGTTAAAAACCAAAATCTTTATCACTGTGAGGCTTAAACTGAGCAGTCCACTTTTGGGAAAGTTATAACCTACCAACAGGAAAAAATGTTGTCTTGTTCTTATATCTATCCAAGGTGACTGTTGTAAAGGCTGCTGTAGATTCATGGTTTTAATTAAGCTGTTACAAAAATTTAGGTATAGCAGAACTTCATAATAATAAAAAGAGAAACCTTATTTATTTTCCTGAAAACATAAAACCCCATGATTTTATGTCTATCTCCTGCTTAGGAAAAAAGATTATTGTAATATAGGTAATTATAAATAAATTTTATTCAGTTCTTGCTTTGCAGAGAAAATACTCATTGCAAAGGGTCATAATAATAAAAAAAAAACCCCTCTGTTTAAATTGGCTCCACTTAAGAAAGAATGCAGGTTTTTTACCAAGAGGAAACAAATACACTTGCCATACAGCTGGTTAGAGTGTATTACCATACAATTTAAGCTGCCTTGTAGTAAAATGAACATTGAAGTCAATATCATCCACCCACCCGCCGAAGCTGTGTGAGAATGCTTCTCCTTAAACTTGAGAACAGTCTGGTGGGAAGATGCCCCAAGGGCTCGGGAAGGAGATGCCCAGCTGCAAAGTTCTGACAGCCAGTGCTCTGTGGATCCTATTTACAAGACTGGACCCTCAGCAGGTATCTTTTTTCTAAATGTAAATTGAGTTTTATGGTTTCACCCAGCCCTTTGGTCCGCTTTTCTCTGGCTACGGCTGTGTAAGTTGTTGTGTGTTAAACCTAGATATCATTATGCAGAGTAATGGTGGAGTGTTAAGTAGGGTCCCTGCTCTGCAATTACTTGTAAATAAATACTCTTTATCAGTTATATGAGCCAGATGGTACAGTAAATGGCTTTTAGTGACTCCTGAAAAATAGTGAAGACTCTGCCTAAACATCATTTACATTGGTTTTTTTTTTTTTTCCGTTTGGAATGCATATATATTACAACTGGCTTGAAAACAGAGGAGCAAGGTGAGCTCTCACAACAGTGGCATGCAAACTCCTTGGGCTGAGTTTGGCACTGGCCGCGTGCGATTGCTGAAGCGGCAATGCTGATCCCAAATACGTGTGCTGCTCAACAGCAGCGAGGTTCGGACTCTTGCCAGTCGGTGTCCCTCCGCTCATGATGCACAGAGCTTGTGGGGAACCTCCACTTTCCTCCGTACAGGTCCCAGGGTGGCTTTGTGGGGCATCACGCACGCTAGATGTATTCTGGTTTGGACAGAACCTGCATCTCCTGCCCTCCCTCACTCCTGTCCTGGCAAGTTCCTCCCAGTCTGCGTGTTCTTCTTTAAAAAAGGAATGGTCAGAATTAAAACAAAATAGTCGGGTTAGGGGCTGTGTTTGTGTGTTCCCTCCCTTCTTAGGGGGGTGTCAGAGTGACAGTAAAGGAGCAATACTCAAAAGGGGGGCAGAGGTGGTTGCTGAAGAGGCAGTAGATGAGGGGGTTGATGGCACTGTTCAAGGCTGGCAGGTTCTGGATGATGACAGATGCGTAGAAGCGCTCTTTGGTCTCAGGGAGTATGTTGAAGTTGTCCAGGATATCAAAAAGGAAGTAAGGGCTCCAACAGAGAACAAATGCTGGAAGAGAGACAGAGATAGGAAGAGCTTGACATCAGATAGTTTAGCTATCTAACAAGGTAATCACACACACAGAGAGGCTGTCATAACACATAAATATTTGTTAATGAAAAAAAAACTCCCTATTCGGGGTGTTATTTAAGAGAATAGTTATTAGACTGTGCTTTTATTTGTCTTTGTTTTTATTTTAATGCCCATAAAATATATTATGTATGCTCCTCTAAGTGTTTAGAGTGCTCCCTCTAGACATATTGAGGCGATTTTGAACACTACACAACACATAAAGGGTAAATAGGTAGCCAGTTAAAGCATCATCAGTTATAGCAAAGTGCTCTTTTCATGGTCCCTGGAGTGAGCAGCCAATCTAAATGTACACACCGCCAACATGCTGCTCTGTGACAGAGCTGCCTGTCACTGCCACCTATTCAAAACGGGCTGGTAGACACCCAGAAGCAAGGAAACGACACCCTGGCATGCCGCATTACAGCAGCCCAACATGTTATTTGGCATACTGGTTGGAGGTGCTGGAAGAGTCTCTGATTCCACACTGCCATTTGAGAGATCCGTTTGGGGAAGGGAACAGAGGATTGGATTGTTCATAGCTCCTGCTTTTGTTCAGAGGTGGTAGAAATAAAAAGGCTGTAGTTTTACCTTTGTTTGCAGATGTGAATCTGTCCCTCACAAATTTCTTTGGCATCTCCTTTCACAAAGGCATTTGATTAAAGATTTCCATTGAAAGGCTGGGACAGGCAGTTCACTCATCGGTATTTCTTAGCTGGCAGCTAGCTGAGCACTCACGGAGTGTGCAAGGAAGAGGCAAACTCCCCTTATGTTTTCTAGACTAACCAAACCAGCAATGTCTATGCACAGATACCAGCAATGTGTGTTGTCAGCTTATGGATCACAGCACTGACTATGCAGAACTTCAAGTGGCTTCAAAGAAATCCCTGAATGCTAGGTGCTTTCGTCTGCATGCCAAGAGATGCTGGGTGCCTAATATTTTCAAGGTCCTTTGAAATCCGGAGCATCCAGGTGAGCTCTTGACATCTGATGGTGTTGCGATAGTACTTGTGTCTGACAAAAGCTTTCTCTGACTGCCGCACAGAAAATTTCAGACACAGAGAAGCTGTTCTTGGACTTCTGAAAAGCACGAATCACATTGACCTCTCTCCTGTCTGCAGATGCTACTGCTAAACAGCACGCTAAGCATCTCCGGTAGCAGCTATTATCACAGTAGCATCCAGTCTGAATTTTGGGTAGTGCTGGAAAGAGGAGTGATCTCTTTTTTTTTTCTTTTTTTTTGTTCAGTGGTAGGTGATGTCTGTCAGCCTTTGGGAGTAAATAGCTTTGGTTGCCTTCCTGCCTGTCTCTGGCAGCTACTCACAAGCCCTGTGTGACGCCGCCTTTATTTATTGAGATAAAATGTCATCCTCCTAATTCCATCAGGATAATGTCATCTCCCTGGGAGACGGAGGACACCTGCACTGAGTCATCTGCTGCCTGGTCGGGAAAAGGAGAGAGCTCGTTCTTCCCACTTTGGCAAGCAACATCAAATTCAGTTGCTCTGCATCCCTCACCTCTCCTTCTTCTCCCTTGCACCGCCCCAGCAACTTCTTCTAATGTCAGCATCCTCCCCAGCTACCTGCTGTGGGGCTGCTCACTTACCGAGGATGATGACGATGCTGTACTTGATGGCTTTCACTTTCGCCCTGGATATGAACCCACGACTGGTGTAGCCAGCAGAGGTTTTGCCACCTGGGAAAAGAACAGTTTAGCTGGTAAAAGACGAGGGCTGGTGCGTGGATGTGTCCGTGCGTACCTCTGTGGGTAGGACAGCGATACGAAGCCCATCCTTCCCTGGTGTCAGGCAGGGGCTCGGTAGTTCCTGAAGTTTGGACGCTTGCAGTCATGCTCAAGTTGGACACTCAAAACCTGAGCTACCCACAATCAAAAGGGGCAATGTAAGAGATCTTCCTGAAGCATTGTGGCAGCTGGGTATTTCTGATCCTCACAGCTACAAAAAAGCAGGCAGACTGGTGGTATAGGAGGCATTTTCTGAAAGGAACTGGCAGCTATAAATAAGAAAAGAGAAGAAACAACCTGACAAAACTGACTACCTGTTCCCTTTTAACTGCATTTCAGTCAGAAGGATTTTAAAAGCTACACACTCCATTCCCTTAACCTCTAACTCTTTTTGATGCTTTGGATAATCTGTTGTGCGTTTTATTCTCCATGTTGACTCGGTAATGAAATATGAAATGCTGTTAGACTAGCTTTTCAGAAATGAAGTGTGGCTCAAATTGAGAAGCGAATTCTGTTCAGCCTCACACCAGGGCTGGTTGATCTCATTTCCTCTGAAGTCACACTAATGTCTCTGAGAATCAAGTTCCATATTTGAATAACAGTGCCAGCAGGATTGCAATAATATGCCTGATTTCATTCGTAATGCCAATTTGCCGGTCATGTTGCTAGGTCAGAATAATTAGAGTCACCATAGTGAATCCACAAGAAGTTCATTTTTTATCAAAACATCTTTAAACTCTTGTAGTCCAAACCTAGGACTGGAATTTTGATTAATGTAATTGGAAATAATTCTGTGTACACAACTTATTGAACCTCTTATAAAAACAGCATATAAATGCTGTGTAATTTGTAAAGAAAAAAAGAATAAAATTAACGTGTGCTTGTTATCAGTGAAACATCCCATATGGAATCTTTAAATTAGTCCATACATAATGTTACTGGAAATCACTTGGTGACTTATAGAGCAGAATATACCTCCTGGATGAGAATGATGGGGTTTTTTAAAGACTGGTTAATACTGGTTGTGTCATGAAGGCAGGATCATCAGAAATCAGTCCTGCTCAAGCCTTTTAAAGAAGGAGTAAATCATAGAATGGCTTGGATTGGAAGGGACCTTAAAGATCATGTAGTTACAACCCCCTTGCCATGGGCAGGGACATCTTCCCCCAGGGTAAATGAACATACTTTTCTTCATAACTAATAGGAAAGGCAGCTGACAAGTGAGGATCTCGAAATGATGTGTGCTCTTTGCCAAAATAGCTCAGAACAGTGCAAAAATGTTTATGGTCTTGGGGTGAAAAGCTCAGCTCACACTATGGCTTTCTGTAGCCATGAATTTCTGAGCTTGAGCAAAATCCAGACTTGCAAGGGCATGTGAAAGCACAGCAGAAGTGTTATCCAAGTATATGCTAGAAAAAAATTATTCTGGAAATGGGCAAAGTTCTAGGAATAGGGATTCAAAGTTCTAGAATAAGAATTTTTTACTTTTTGATTCTTTTCTCACAGATGTTTTCTGTCATTTCTCTAAAGGGGATTTAGTGTCAAAGGGAGGAAGGTAAATAATGTAGAAAAGAGTTATGAATGAGCTATTACAGAAACCCCATTCCCACTGCAGTGATGGGGGCCCAAGGCAACGCCGCATGTCCAGGCATTCAAAAAAAAGGGGACCATCCGGATTCAAAACATAAGGCTGGAGACACGTGTGTGCTGAGACTCACCAGGGCAGCTGGACAGGATGACAGCCTGAGCTTTGCTCTTCATCCAGATGGTTCGTATCACGATGGAGTATATGACACTACAGAAGGGAGAGTCATTGGTGTTATGAGGCACGGTAAATTTAACTGGCGTCCCAGTCATTCAATGAATATGCTTATCTATGTGTAAGGAGCTCATAGAGATGATGGGACTGCATAGGCATGATAATAATGATGACAGCAACAAAAATAAAGTATGACTCTTCCATAGTACTTTTCAGAACCAGATCTGAATAATTTTCACCATGGTAGTTCATCCGTGATTGTTGTCCTGGCTTTGCAGACGTCAAATCTGAGGCTCAGAGGAATGTAATGATTTGGTCAAGATCTCACAGGCAAGAGCCTGTTGGGGATTTTGAGCTGAGGCCAAATCTGCCTGGGTACCAGCCCCAGGACACTAGTCCTGAAATGGGGGAAGCAAAGGGAGGGACCTGGTTTTGCTGCATATTTTGATGTTCCTTTGGGAGTACGAAGCTGGCAAATAGAACGGTTCCCTGGGGATTTTAACTGGGTCGGTATCCATGAGAAATGCAAAGTACTGCAGCACTCACTTTCAGGTCTCAAGGTCCTGGGATGGAAATTGAGGAGGACAGAAGTATCAGGTAGATGGGAAGACTCAGATGGTTCAAAGCCATATCCACCACAATTTGCATATTTAGAGGGGAATGCACGTATTCATTTAATGGGAAACATGAAAAGTGCCCTGGTCCACAATGGCCTTGGATAGTTTTGACATTTCCCTAGGTGATAACAAATGTGGAATTCTATTTATTTAATACAGAATGGGTAAAAAGAATTCCTTCAAGCTGAAGAGCTGTTTGAACCCACACCCTGGATGAGGATGTTACCTTTTCAGCAGTTTACATTAAAAAAAAATAAAATTAGGCTTTGCTCTGTATGCCTTTTCTCCTGCAAACCTGCATAACGTGCAGCTGAAATCACTAAGCAACAGCATACTTTTGACTGCTGTTTTCCTTTTTGGTCTGCTACGGAAGATGAAAATAATGTGAAAATATTTCAACTAATGCATTCAGGTTGCCATGTTTTCCTGGTGTAAAACCAAGCATCATAACAGAAGTCATCATGTGCTGTTTGTGATACACCGTGGTGTTTTGGGAGGCTTGGGGCAGCCTGACCATTAATTGCCATAAACCTTAGTGGCGATTCTGTGAAAGAAGGTGCAACTAGGGAGATTATTTTAGGGTGTTTTATAGAGGCAAAAATGTGTCTTACTATCACTTAATTTATTTTTATTATCAGAAGAGACATTATTCTTACTAGAGCTTTCAGACTCAGATAAGCGCTTTTCCTACAGCACTCTAAGTTCCCAGACATGCTTGCAAAGGCAGTGTTTGTCCGCCTTGGAGGTTTCCTTTCTGTGTAAGTTTGAGCCATCTGGTTTCCAGGCTCAATGGGTGAAAGCTGGAGATTCAAAGTGCAGTCCGGGCTGTGCAGCAGAGCAGCAGTGTCCTTGCCAACGAGGGTTTTGCATGAATCTGCTGCAGACTCTGGCTTGCCCTCCTTAATCCCTTCAAAGGTCCAGCATGGCTCCCAGCTGACTTGAACATTTTCCTTTTATCTCCTGGCTTTTCAAGAGCCTGTTTATTTATCAGCTGGTGCACTTGAGAGTTCCTTCATACTTTGTACTGACAATAGTGGAAAATTCGTGTATCATTGCTCCTTTGATTGTTCCAATGAATGTGTCATAATGATAATTGTTGTCATCTCAAGAAAATTTCCATCCAGCTCCTCAAAGTCCTGTTTCTTTTTTTCTCCCTAGCCTGCTATATCTTGCCTGACCTTTTCATTTGCAGCTGAACCAATATCTCTTCTGATGCAGGACCCATTCAGCATTGCCTAAGCATCAGGTCAAAGGAGCCTAACTCCAGAGTCAAAATACTCAGACTCCCTACTTCCAGCCAAGTCCCATAAGGACTGAAGTCAGACTCCTCACTGGCTTTCTCTCTGACTCCAGAAGTCTTGCCCTTTTGGCTGCAGAGCCTGGTAGGAGCATCCCTTTCATGGGATGCTGTTGTAGCAGCTGTCTTCTTCATGCCCCAGTCGAGAGGCTTGATGTCAGGACGGGGAATACAGTTGGCATTTCACACAGATTACATGCTGTTTCATTTGAATGCTTCGTTTTTAGAAGTCCAGGGGAAAGTTTAATTCCTGGTTTAATCCCATGGCTTCTAAAGTGCTGGCAACATAGTGGATTTGTACTGGTGGTTTTGCCTCTGTTCATCTTTCTTTTATCTATAGCTGGAGCTACTGGAGCCTTCCTTACTGGGAGGGGACCAGAGGTGGTATAAATCTTCTCAAGGTGAGTGTCAGGAAGGACAACTCACTTCTCATGCTAGGTATACTTTTCCAGCAGCTGTTTTGCTAGCCACAATTATGCCTTTATGCATTAATTCTCTGGTACTCCAGATCTTCTTAGTCCCCAACCTTTTTTTTTCTTTCTTCCCCCCCCTCCCCCCCCATGGAGCTAAGAAACTGGAACCCAAAGCTTAAGATCATAAAAGGCATCTGTGCATGTGTTTCAAAGCCACAGAAATACAAAGAGACCGCTTATGAAACAGAAGTTGTATTCTTACAAGGGAAAAGCAGGATTTTTCAGAATGTATTTGTAGTCTTGTTCCTTCTGTAAAAGGCGGCTGGAGGAGGACGTTGGTGACATCTCAAAGGGTGGGAAGAAATTCCCACTTGATGGAAAGTGAAGTGGCAAATCACAAACTGTATGTGTTGTTGTGGCCCATTCTTTGCATGTGAGAGACTAAAGAAAGGGAAGAAAGCTCAGGCAGAGTAGTCAAACCTGGGTGGAAAAATAACCCAAGCCTTTTTGAGAAGGAGCTGCTCAGGCTTTGAAGACCACGGGATAGAAAGGACATGCTGTTGATATGAAAATGCAGTGATTTTTCTAGCGATGATAAGATGTGTATCTGGAGAGGTGGCAGGAAAATACAAGGATATGGTTCAGACTCTGGATGTATCTCAGCAAATTCAGTTAATTTCATCTCCAAAAGCAATTTGGCTTGATCCAAATTCTGAAGGACTAAGATGCGTGTTCGTTGTAACATGTTGTTAGATAATGGTGTTGATTAATATGACCCGACTGGTAATTACAGCATTCTTTGTCCAAGTAAGTAATTAACTTATGGTTAGTCATACAAATGCTACAGTGAACAGTCCCACTCTGTCTTTATTTTTAATTCATAGATCACTTTTGTCTTGTGAAAATAAAATGTCTTCTGGTAAAGTTATATATTGATATTAACAAACATAAGAATTATTGATCTGCCCACTCTTTAAACAATGATTTTTTTTTAATAAATGATTGCATTACAATAGCATCCCACCCAACCTCAGTATTTACTAATAAAATGAGCCTTTATCATGGCAAAAAGTACACTTAAGCTCCCTGCTAATTGCTTGTATTTATCATCCAGCATTGCCTATTGTTCCTTGTACTTTTTTTGTGCAAAATGATGCAGCTGCGTTATGTTTTATGGTAGCTAATTTACAGCACTATTTATCTAAAGACAAAAGGCATATGTAACTTCATACGAGCAAACCATTGTTGGCACATGTGATGGGTAGCTGAATAGACAGGCAGATATTAGAACATATGTAGAAGATCTAGGCTTTTTTATTTAGAAATGGAAACTGCAGACAAAAATGATTGTGCTTGCTGAATTGAGCTCAAAAAACGACCTATGGTATTTTTATTAATGGTATTTTTATTCCCTTTATTTGATTTAATTCAGACAAATATCTTTCATTTAATCTATTTTTTATTTCACTGCAATGCCTTGGGTTTAGTTCCATATTTTTCCTTTTAGCTGATTCTGGTTTTTTCTCTTCTAATTATTTTTTTTGCTGCTCCGAAACAAATGTTCTCTTTGGAGTTTTGATTTTAAACAGCAGATGGATATTTTTGCCTTTGTGCTTCAAGAGGAACTTTTGCAATTTTTTTTAACCTGAATTTGGAATTATATTAGACAACTGCCTATGCATCACATTTATCAGGTTGAAGTATAAAAAATACATTTGGCAATGGTAAATAATAGCTAAAAAGACTCTGAATTTCTGGATACTCAAACTCCAGAATATAGTTATGGTTTGGCACAGAGCAGTGACGCAGAATAGAAACCCAGTAGCTCTCTTGCTACCCCATAACAGGACCTGAGGGGCCCAGGTGCAAATGTTTGCAGGAGAGAAGTCTGAATCTTGATTTAACCTGTATTTAACCTCTGTTCAGCAATGTCCCAGAGGTACTGAACTCTGAGATACCGTTTGAGCTTTGTTTGGCATATCTCGGCGTAGGAGAAAGCGCTTTGGTTATAGCTGATGACATTTGGCCCAGAATAGGAGAGAACTAATTACTGCAGGTTGCCTAATTAATTTTTCTGAATTTGCTGGGTTTTGGTAGGTTGGCAATATCAACAGCAGAAAAAATGGTAGATTAGTCCAAATAAGAGGGCGGAATGGGCCAAATTTTTAAGTGCTGTGAAGAAGAACCTCGTGTAGAATCTGCAGCTCTCCCTGATCGATGCTGATTTCAGTTTGTACATGCAAAGAACAAATATTCTCCCCTTCCCTCAGCTCTCAAAGAGAACCACTTGGGTTAAAAATCTAATCACAGCTTTTCATTCTCTTTTCATTATTCAGGTCTTGTCCATTTGTATTATAATCAGATAAAAAAAACTTGCCACAAACCCACAAGCTGTTTGAGAACTGATTGCTGGTTTTCCAGTTGGAAAGAAGTGGTAGGGACAAACCTCCCTCGTATTTAAGTCTTTCAGGGCTGTTGCAGTTTTTGTTCATAGATTGTCTTTTTATATATAGATTAAAAAAAAAAAAAAGAAGGGACAGATTGTTGTTTCCTTCTGGTTCATGGTTTGGGTTGGAATCTGTAGGGTTTCCTCACACCACATCTGGGGGATCGGCTTGTTGGTGGAAGGGTTTACCAGGCTGAGCATAAGGTTATCAGCTAAATAATTCATTCCATGCAGTGTTCTGAATAACACAGCTCCTGTGAGGTAGTTGCAGGTTGTGTCAGGAGCACGTGAAATCAGCTCTGCCTAGAGAGCTGAGGGATGGATGCGAGAAGCTTAACAGATGATGGTGCCTGGGCTGTAGCAAGTGAAAACCACTCAGCCAAAGCAACCTATCTAGTGTGGAATCAAGTCCTGAACCTGAAAAGTAAATTTTTTTCCTCTGTCTGCACTTTGGATGAACTGCGCCAGAAAAAAGTGCTGTCATCAGTGAAGTGCATTGCTCTAGAGGTTCGGTTTTCCGCAGATTCAGGTGGCAGAACTAATTAAGAATGAGCTCCGCCAGCCAGCATCCCACATTGCGTCGGGCAGCTGCCACGCAGCTAAATCAGAGCATTTCGGCAGAAAAAATAAAGTAGCTGTGCAAACAAAATGAAGTATTGCAGAAAAGCTCTTCTTCTTTCTCTGTGTGCATCCTGCCTCACTGCCTCAGTAAGGGCAGAGTGTGCCTTGGCTTCTGGTTTGTTCATATTCCTGGCTTCTTAGATACTGATCCTTGGCTTTTTGGTCACACATTTATGGATTGTTTCTCCATCGTTATGTTGTGGCCTTTTTTAAATAACATCTTCAGCTAAAGGCCATTAAATTAAAAAAAAAAAAATCACAAAATGCCTTCCTTCATTTACTGAATAACACCTTTCATTTTTATAATTAATCTTTTGACAGAGTAACACACAAGTACAATGTCCATGATCTCTCCCACTCGCCCTGCTGAAACAGCGTCTCATTAGTCACAAAACCTGCTGTGCATCCAAAAGTATTGGGTGGAACAAAACTTTTGCGGAGAAAGCAGGTCCCTGCAGACATTAACAGCCATTC